GGGTAGAAAGCCATTTCTACCCGGAAAAGCTCACCGGAAGCGCTGGCACCGCCATCTTTTTTGATGAAAAAGTGCTTCCGGTGAGGTCACCGGAAGCACTTTTTCATCAAAAAAAGATGGCGGTGCCCAGCTGATGCCGGTACCGGGCCGCGGCGCCCAGCTGATGCCGGTACCGGGCCGCGGCATAAAAAAGGTTGGGGATCACTGGTTTAAGGTATTCAAGATAAATAAACAATGAATATTTTTGCTTGCACACAGTGAGAGTATCAGAGGAGACATGGAGGTTAGTGAGCAATGAAAAAGCTTTGGGGTAGCACATTGATGTCTGCCAGCGCCATGTTGCATACCCTGTGCTACAATATTCTTAATAAGACTTGTGTATTTTAAGTGGTTAATGCATCAGATATAAGAAGCCAATTCCAGTGTAGTCTTAATGAGACTTTCACCTCAGAGATTACAACAGAAAGAATATTGTATCTTAGCCAATAATGGCTTTCCTTATGGACCAAACGTTCATCTGTCTGCATTTCTTACTTCAGGCTACTAGATCCTGATCCAAATTTTGTAGCTGATGACCTTTTTACTTTTATACATTGGTTGTCTAGATTTTTGGAGCCTAGATCTGGAAGCTCTATTAGTACTGTTCTAGATAGACATCTCTTGTGAAAAAAAATGATGGAAAACTTGAGCAATACATTAAATATAACTATCTGTTAAGTTACATAATTAGTAGGATTTGTAAGCCTTGCTGCAGGTTGGAGCTAGCTAGCTATATCATTTTTTTCTGATGGTTTCATGCTCCTTTTTCTCTTGGCATTCTAGAGTTCCCTGTGCTCATTGTTGTATCGCAATGTTCTTAATTTTATTTAGTTTGTGCTTGCTTTTTCTTCATCTTGATGTATTTCTGTGCTTTTGCAAAACCTGGGGATCCTTGATCCTGGAAATAAGGTCATTTTGGCTACCTATCCTTCTCCACTCTCTTTTGTTGACATGGCAAGGAAATTGATGCTCCAGTCTTTTTACCTGGCTTACAGGTATTCCATGGCTTCAGGCAGGCTTTCCATGCCATTATGTTTTTATATGCATGCTTTAAATTTTATTGTTGGATCACGCATATTGTCTGCCAAATTCAAAGAGCTTCTGAAGTCCAGAGCTGATTTGTGATGAAATGTTAGGATTTAAAATTAGAAATGTTGATCTTGTCCAAACCTATATGCAAACATGTCAGCAAATTTATGTTTGTCACAATGTACTTTGAAAGTAATTTGATGTGTATGGCTGTTTAGTCTATGAAAAAAGAGGGGGGGAAATGTAACACCTTCCACTGTTTTAGTAGGTAAGTTGACAGCCCTAGAAACCTTAGAAATAAGAATTTTACATCTGGCCTATATAACAATGAAAAAATATGTAGACCTTTTGTATGATTACCGGTATTAAATTTGATATGTTAACATTTCCTTAAAATATAACTATCTAAAAAATGGAGGAATATGTTACTTTAAAGAAACAATAAAAGCTAATATATCTTAAGCCTTCTTTCTGTTTCTTTTAAAAGCACTTCAGTGTGGTTGCCCAAAACTGAAGAAAAACGTGACTATTTTATTCAAAAGTTCACATCATAATTCTTCCATGTTCTTTGTTTATTGTTGTCAGGACATATTTTCTAATGTATTGGAAGGATATGCATCTCAAGGAAAGTGATTTAGATTGTTTTTTCTCAATTGCATGTAATCAAGAAATACAAACCACGAAGACTTGAAACAAAAAATTATTTGGCTGGTTTGATGTGGTTTGTTCAGCTTATTTCTGGATCCGGATGTATGGGACTGCAACAGCCCTGTGAAATAGATGAGCTCCCATGACTGAGAAGACTGGAAGTAGATCTCCCTGATCCTCAGTCCAACACGCTGTCTTTTCAAACCAAATCTTTCCTGGGGTGGCTTTCCTCCAAGGACTTTCCGAACTTTCAGGATTTGCAGACCTTACAAACACTGCTATATTGTATCTGGTTGGGCTAAAAGCACAATAGAAATGTCCCTGAATGGACTTTGCGTAAATATTATATGAGCATAAGGAATATGCTGCAATTCCATTGAGCAGCCATTTGTTCATAAAGTATAAAAAGTTTTGGAAAAAGAGTAGAACGCAACCTAGCTATTAGAAAACTGTTTTTAATTGCATGAATAAATAAGAGTTTTAGGAATTCCTAAACACTCTTGGGAAAATGTACTTTTCCTTGCTGAAGGAAGAAAACACGAAGGATCTTAATGGAAGATCATTGTCATCGGGTTTCATAAGATGAGGTACATTACACAATATGCTACAATATTATAGCTGAAACTCAGGTATATAAAAGGTTAGTATTTTATCTAGTGTCCTGTAAAATAAAAGGAAACATACAAATAGATATATAAGAGGTGATCTTTAGGTCCCATCAGATTTGGTAGGATAATGGAAAGAGTGAAATCTGAGTCACAGTTGAGCAGAGAAATCCTGGATCTCATTCCATACATAGAGTTTATTTACACAATTTTATATGACATGCAGCTCCCAAGACTTCAGACTGTTTACAAAGTAAAAACTGTCAATCTATACACTGTGTGTGTATGTGTACAAAACTCTCTCTCACACACACACGTACATATATAGCTCAGCATCAACCAAATAAAAAGATTGCATTTGTACTACAATCAAATTAAAAAGAGTAGCTAGCCTGAAACAAACCTTTTTGTCGATTGTGCCCATCTGCTTTTAAGTATATAAATGGACAGAAACTATTAAGTGATATGACAAGAATAAAGCATCATACCTGCCATTCCTGCCAATGAATATAGTCCAGCTCCCAACCTCCAAGGTTTAAAATCTAGATCTCCCTTAAGAAGATGCTTGCTGTCCATTTTGAAGCAGGTATTTTTTATGATCATAATATTGTGGGTATGTTTGTCAACTTCAGTTTTTGCCAATATTCTGAAACTCTCATTCTACCCTGATTCAAAAATGTCTCGTGTAACAACAGAGACAGTTTTCAGTGGACTGCCTTGACTTTGGAAAAGAATTTGTAGGACAAAACATGATATAACTTCACCCTGAATCACTGCAAATTTACAGAATTTCAATAATATTTTAATGTAGCATTATCTTTGTGTGAAATATTTTAGATTAGCAAACATGGGTCCAAATAACCTCTGAACCTCTGATCAAACAGTTTCTTTGAAATATATTTTTATTTAAAAAATATTAACAAAGAACACAGCAACCTTTCTTCATTCTTATCTTTTGACACAGATCTCTAGAGAGGAAATGATCCTTGTGGCTCCCATTGAAAAGTATTATGTTTTCTTCAGTAACTTCAAGTACCGGTAGTTGTCTGTTTTTTTGCTGATTGCAAAATCCCCTAGTTTTAAATTATTGCTTGTTTATACATAGTTTTGAGTTCATTCTGATCTGTTTTCCCCTGATTTGCTGATCACATGCTTTGGTTTGTTAATGAATAATTTTGGCATTTATCACAGTAGAGAGTGGATAAATTGCCATGTCAAGTTGTTTTACAAAATGTACATTTTATATTTCCAAGTTTTGAAGAAGAATTTAAGGCAAAATAGTTGATCTCTTACTTAGTATATTATTAGATATTTTATAAGATATTCCATTTGGATCTTGGGAGAGTAAATCAAAATGCTCATACCATTTAATATTATACATCATACCAAAATTAGCCATTGCCAATTGGTTATGAAACTCCCTAAACAAATGGACAGAAAGTATTCAGCAAAGATAATGTTGATTCTTCTGGAGAAGAATCTTACCAAGACATAATTCACCAGTAAGAAAAGCTCAACTCCCAATTTATAACAGCCAGTTTTCAACTCTATATCTTCTGCCTTGAGAATACCAAAGAAAATTTGTGCCACTGAGTGCCGCATGTTCCAAAAGAGGATTTTTGTCAACCATTTTCATGCTTGTTTAGAAGGTAAAAGGCAAGAGTTTCTCTGTAGAAGAGGTTGGTAAAGTTTTCTTAGATAGAAGTAAACAATTAACAATAGCAGTGATGGAGGGATATAAAAATAGTTTGTTTTTCTGTTTTCTCAGGCGATACTATAGATGAGCTAAAGAGAGCCAATAACATAAATGCACTGAAGAAAGAGCATTAGTGTCCTCTGTGGTAGGTGGGCTTGAACTCCAGTGGGGATTTTTAATTATGCACATGTTAACTGAATAGGTTTTTACACTATATTTCTAATATCCTAAATGAATGCATCTTGGACCAGATGGACCAGAAAGGAGATAATCCTAGATTTAATCCTAAATCATGACCGTGTTCTGAGACAAGATGTAAATATTGTGGAGCTAATAGAAATGGATGACCAAAACACTGCTACATTTTAGCATACATGGAAATGGGAAACTGCCAGCTGAGTGAAACAGTCACATTTGATTACGAAAGGGGCACCTTCTCAGATACGAGGAAATTGTGAAGAAAGACTGCAAAGAATAATCAAGAGAGCCAAATCTCTTCTTAATGCCTGAATGTTAATTAAAACCACAATAACTGGGAGTCAATAGGGATGTATTTGGCAGGGTAAGAAAGAGTGGTCCAAGAGCTGGATCAGCCGCATTCACGAGAGACATGCATGACTCTCTAGCAGCATCCAGGAAGCTGTAAAAGGAAGGTAGTTTTTTTTTTCTTCAGGAAATGGAAAAAGCCTGTCCTAATGAAGATGTTAATAGGAAGCACAAACTCTAGGAGTAAAAAAAAACAAAAAAAAACCCATGCAGGGTGATAATAAGGAATTTTAAAAAAGAATCCACTTGCCCCAATAAACAGAAAGAAGGAAAATAATATAATTCACTTGCAGTAGGATATCAGCCAAGGAAGCAGTTGGGGTATTGATGAAAAGATCCTCAAGGAGGGTATGGACATTGCCGGGAAATTGAGTACTTTTTTTGGGGGGGGGGGTTATTTCTACAGGTAGCTTTAGCCTTATGGCCATATTTTCAGCGACTGTTTGAAGTTAGAACAGAACTGAATGAATAGTGGCTGGGACCACTTCTCAGAGTTCTAGCAACCCCAAGTTCATGTGGTCACAATTTGGGTGCTTGGCAACCAGCTCACGACCGATTGCAGCACCCCACAATCACGTGACCGCCTTTTGCAACCTCGCCTGCCAACTTCCCCAGAAATCAGTGGGGAAGCTGGCAGGGAATGTCACAAGTCACTGGGGTGTGTCTCTCCCACTCACACGCCTTCTCCCAGCCTTTCTGGGGTTGTGCTCATGCACACCCTCCCTGACCCTTGCCCTGCCACCCTCCCATATCCATTTTGACCTGTGTTCTCTCAACTACCCCCTTGCATCCTTGTGGACCTTCTTGGACCCACACCATGCCTCTCACACATCTTTTGCACCCTGTTGCACCCTTGCTTACCCTCCCCTGAATGCACCTCTTGCACACACCGTCCCCCAGCCTGTGCTGTGCCTTTCTCACAAACTCATGTATCCTTCCCCCCTGGATTCCCTCCACCACTTGGCAGCAGTCTGCTTACTGGATTGCAACTTTCTGACATCTTCTCACTGACTTCACTAGTGGGAAGTTGGTTACTTGCTTCACCTGAACAGTTAACAACAGCAACTAGGACTGCAGGGATTGCCACTGCTAAGTGATGAAGTGATATGGTCGTGCTTTATGACCACCTTGCTAGCCACGGAAATTCTGGTCCCAATTGCTGTGATATATTGTGGATCACCTGTGTCCTTATAGACATTCCAAGGGGAGAAATCAAAACAACTAAAATAATTTGAGGTAACAAGAGATGTTCTAACACATCTTGGAAGATTGCAATAGCGATTAACCATTGGATCTTGATGGCATCCACCTCAGAATAGGATAAAAACTAAAATGTGAAATTGCTGACCTCCTAGCAAAAATATGTCAGTCGCACCTGAAATTGAGCTTAATGAGTAGAATGAGCCCATGTGACACCATTTTTTGAAATTGCAGCAGCTGAGGCATCAAAGTGTAAGTCAAAGAACTGTGGATGAAATATAAAATGCTCCATTTGTTTCAAAATATTTAACATACTTATACAAAAAGTTAACAAATAGTGGTATTTGGAAATTGTCAGGAAAAAAAGAAGAAAGTGGTCTTCACCATGGTAGCACCTAACCAAAACCTTGGTTGATTTAGAGAAAATAAAATGGTCGGGTTGAACCTTTAAAATCACATTTGCTGTATTAGGTATGAATTTCTGCTTCAGTGAATCAATATTAAGCAGAATAGTCCTTGTGATACAGCTTTTCAATTTGTACTTAGAGACATAGTTAGTAGAATATTGAATTTATTGAGCACACAAACCAAGATATAACAGGAGCAACAGCTGCAAAAAAAAAAGAAAGAAAAAAAGTTCTTTCTGTAGCACAATTTGGAATAAAGGTCTAGCTGATAAATCAAAGTTTTATTCCATAGATCTTATATTCAAAGCCTACATATTTTTGTCTTGCACTGGTGGGCAGTGGGGATTAAGAACAACCATAAAGAGGTCCAATAATTCCAGTTGTAGAACTTACAGTATATACAGAATTTAGGATCCATATCTGCTTAAATCAGTAGTTCTTAGATTAAATTATTTTTCTGGTCCTAAATTATTTATTTATTTAATATCCTGTCTTTATTATTTTTACAAATAAGGTGTGAAACATATCCATCTCACTTACTTCCTATTTTCCCCATAACAACCCATTGAAGTGAATTGGGCTGAAAGAATGGCTGGCTTTCATGGCCAAGGTGGGACTTCAATTCACAGTCTATTATATATGATATGATATAGTATATGATATGATATATATGATATGGCTATGTCATCATATATCATATGTAAATATGCAAATATTCCCACAAAAAAAAAATCAGCTCCTTGGTAGCAGTGGTCCCATTCTGGATCTTTGACAAACAAGCATTTATTTTGTCATAAAAGTCAAGACATTTAGATTAAGAGATTACTGTTTATTTGCAATGAGTTCCATTAGAATGAGTTCTAAGGGGAACTTTCTCTCTCCCTCTCCCTCCCTCCCCCTCTCTCTCCCTCCCTCTCCTTCCTTCCCTCCCCCCCTCTCTCTGAGTAAGTTTGATTATAAATGAATGTAGAATGGATATAACTGCTGACTTCTCAATGGTCCCATCACATACTTCAGCCTCCATAAACACCTTGTTACAGGTAGTTCTCACTTACCAATGGCAATGGGGATTGGAATTTCCATCACTAAAAACTGTCATAAAGCATGATGTCAGATCATTGTGCTGCTTAGCAATGGAAATGTTGACAATTCCAGTTCACAAATGATTGCCATTTGTAACCTCCTTCTGGCTTCTCCATTGACTTTGCTTGTTGGAAGCCAGCAAAGACGATCAAAATGGTAATTATATGACGATGGGGACATTGCAACAATCATACGTACGCTCATTCAGCACTATCATACATTTGAATGGTTGCGGAATGAGTTGATCATTAAATGAGGACCATCTATATTCCATATTGTTATTTGCAATCAATAATTATACATTTTTTCTAGTGCCATAGAAAAAGTGGTTGGCTTCTCTAGAAGCAAAACATATTTTATAATTCCAGAAAGAGAGGAGCTATTACATATGAGAACTTGTGTGATTAATGTCTGGGACATAGAAGACCCATGTTCTATTCCACCAACAGCCATGAAAACTTATTGGATAATTTTGGGCCGGTCATTTTTTTAGTCTTAGCCTAATTCAGGGTTGTGGTGAGCAATAGGAGAGCTGTGTTCATCTATGGTGGCAAAAATCAGGAGTCTGATAATAATCTGTAGAAGTTCTCATTCATCCAGGTCATGGTTGTCCCAAAGGTGCTTTTTGCAGGAGGTAGTGGTCTCCTTCCATTCCCTACTCTCCTGTCAGAACTGAAGAAGTTTCTTGGATGAGAAGTGAAATGACTTCAAAAGAAAAAACAAGAAAGTCCAGCTGCCTCCTGAAAAAAGCACCTTTGAGAGTCTGATAATGTCTTCCCCAACTAATTTATTAAAGACATAAACTACATATTGCTAGTATTGTATTGATTAATAGTTGCTATGTGTTAAAAACTCATTATGTTTGTTGAGAGCTATGTAAGCTATCTGAATAAAATGTGGGATAGAAGTGTATATGAGTATAACAAATACAGCATAAGCGTTTGTATTTTATTTTAGTTATATTCATTTCATTTATTGGATTTTGAGACTGGTTGAGTCCAAAAGGCTATGGGCAGTTTCCATTAAAAATACATAATTTAAGAAACATTATAGCCTGGGAAAAACCATATCAATAACAATAGTAACAGTTATAACATCATCAACAACAGGGGCTTCACAAACACCCTATCTCCAGGCTTGGGAACAGAGCCTTAAGAGACGTGGAAGATTTGGACAGTGGGAGTCATGTACCTAAGGTAAGGGGGATGCTCCTCCAGACAGGGGTTATGGCAGAGAAGGCACATGCCTCCTCAGTCGCATAAGACTGCAATGTTTAATAGAGAGAACCTGGAGCCCGCCCACCCTGTCCATAAGTACTGGAAAGGTAACCCTAGAGAGGGTAAAATATAAATGTACTTATAACTGTGGTTAATTAAAGCAGCCACATGACATTTCTCTTAATGACTGTGTTGCTTGGCAATGGAGTTGCTGTTTCCCATTAGACTCATTAATTGATGACTACCTGTATGCCTTAAGTTGTAAGCTCCACTTCCTATTTTTTCTATATAGTTGCTTAAATTCAATTGAGCAAATTCTAATTTCCTTATTTAAAGTGAGATTTGAAGTAACTTTGCAAGAGTCCTCTGGTTTGGAGCAGTACTAAAATCATTCTCTTGTCAACTTAGATACAGCAGCTAATTATGACCAGAAAACAAGGAAGAAGAGAAGAAAACATATATAAGAGCAGATGCAAAACATGAATGTAGAGCACGTTCTTAAGCTTTCATACCACAATTTAGAGCATCAGATTGTTATACTGTAATAAACTCATAGTTTGAGATACTCAGTACACAGATTTGTTTCCACAAAGGTTGTTCTGTGTCTGATTAAAAGCTGCACTGCATATCAACTTGCATAGAACAATTGCATGTTTGTAGCAATAGTCATGGTTTAATGCAGTAGTACCTACTATGTGCACAACTCTTGAGAGAGAGAAAAGAGATTATTCATACATCTTGTTTCTCTTCATATTTATATTGATATTAAAGATAATGAATCACACTGCAGTCTCAGTGGGCTTATCAGGGAAACTTACTACAGCTTCAAAACTATGTATTAACATTCTTAAATGTACCTGATACTTGAAGATTTACTCTGGTAAATAAAATGCTGAAATTAGGTTTGATTCCTGCAGCAGTGACTGATAACTATAAAGAACTGCAAATTAGATTTGCAGTACTTTGCTCTCATCCTAATGCTGACTTAGCTTTTCTCATATTGCTTATGTGCCATTTTATGGTGATTGTACATACTCATCTGTAATAAAAAAAAATTGCAGAGAAATCAACAAGTAGATTGAAGCAGCTGAATGTATATTGTAGCTAACATATGTATAAATATGGAGCCACCGAGGCAAAAAAGTTAGCATCAACTGTGGGAAACATTTATTTATTTGTGAATCACATGTATAAGCCATCCAACTTAGAGGACTTTGAATGGCTACAATTAAAAGTACCTCCAACACAGGATAAAAATAAAAAAGGGCAATTAATATAACAAGCACCTGGCTAAAGAAGCAGATAATGCACATGATTCCAGAGGGCAGGCACTGTGACAGAGAAGGCATGTCACTTAGGTCTCATCCGGTGGCACTGTTTTAAGGATGGGACCTGGAGCCTGTGTGCTGTAACATATCTTATCAGATGAACAGATACAATAGGATAAATTTGGTCCACCAGATGTTCTAGGCCATGGAGGACTTCTAGGATACCACTAACACTTTGAATTATTTCTCTCACTTGCATGTTTTTTTTAAATCTAAAATTACCACTTGCTACTTATATTGTCCCTCATACCCTAAGCAAATAATGATTTTGATTATTTCTTTTATGAAACATCAGTTTCAAGAAAGTTTTTGGAAAGTCAAAGAATACAGTATATAAAATCAGGCAACTAGCAAGTTCTCCCTCTGTTGCATGCATTGTGATTGGCCTTCAGTGATCCCATACATACTGTCCTCTTCTATTTTGTAAAAATGAACAAAAACTTTTTCTTACCATTTGCAGAACTTGGACTCTTCTCCACTATGCCCTAGTAGCCCTACAAATCTCATCCTTTACAACTACAGCTGGACTAACACAATGACAACAATTGAATTAAGACAGTTACTAAGTATTGGCACCATAGACAGTTCCTACATTTTGGTTCCTGCAGTTTCAAAATAATCTAGAGTGAAACTATTAGTTCTGTGCTTGAAATAGGCTGTCAGTTGATTGCAAAAGAAATGACTTCAAAAGAAATCTGCCAAGGTTAAAATAAAGATATACCTCTTTAAACAACAAAGAAACATGTCCATTCATTTAAAACATAATTTTTGAAATAGTAATTAGGTACTTTTGTTAACTATGACTTTCCTCATATAGAAATTAATTTCTATAGTTCTTGCTGTACCTGGATAGTGTTAAGAATCATTAGATGAAGGGAATAGAGAATAGTTTTTTAAACTTTGTTTTGTTATAAACAATAATGGCTTGATAGCACTGAGAGATATTGGTAAACCTTGAAATCTTGCTGCACAGTAAGAGGAGGAGAGCCATTTTAGTTTTATAATGGTAGAAGGAATCTGCAGCTTGCAAAAGATTATGCCATTAATAAAAACTTAATATCTGGCAAAGATGCTCCTTCTGATTTTATAGCTAATAACCTGGTATTATAATTTCTGCCTAATGATAAATTATTACTGAAATCAAGACTTTTAAGTCTTCTGGACAAACATATATTCACAGATAAAGTCTTGTTTGTATTTTTAAAATCCTCATTTTAGATAAGCACAAGTCTGTTTACCGAAGAATTTGCAGTGGAAGTAGCTAAGTTTCAATGCTTTATTTATGCCTTTTTTCTCAAAACTGAAAAAAATGAAATTTTGATTTTAGGTTTTGATGATGAGACCAATTTTGTTGTTTTAGAAATGGCTTGAAATGTTGTGAAATGTAAAGCAAAAGTTGAAGTTGTAATTTTTTTTACATTTTACTGCACTGAAAATTTGAAGTTAAATATTCCCTGCCTTGCACTTCTCTTTCCCTTAGTTCTCTAACTATTGTCTTTTCTGTTTTTATCGTATAATCAAACCTAATAAAATACCTTTTAAAAAAGGAAAAGGTTATGTTGTATTACATGTAGAATTTTAGTAAACCTGTTGTATTTGTTCTGTTTAGACGGAGACCTAGCAAATAAGCAACTATTAAGCCTTTCTATTCTTTCACAATGAGCCTATTAGAATGTATTAAAAACAATGTATGGGTGTGTTTGTGAAGAGGGGAAATGCCAGTAGCACTGTCCTTAAAGTGTGATTCACGGAAAATAATAAGTCAAAAAGATACATTAAAGACTGGTAGGAAAGAAATTGTACTGTGTTGTTAATGGAAAAAAAGCTTGGCAAAAATGATGTTGTGACTGTTTCTGTGGCTTGGAAAGGAATTTCCTATAGCCCAGAGTAACCATTAAATATGTCTCTGTTTTTAGTTCATTAGGGCTTTCTTTCCCAGAGAAAATGTCAACTTCTGCCATGGAACCCCAGTCCCTTGATGAGAGAGGAAGTTTTTTTAAGGTAACTAAAATATTGGTACTTATTTTAAAATGTATGTCAATTATCTGCCTACTGCTTTTCAGTTTAAGAATTTGGACAGACCTATGGTGAGAAATGGTTGGTTTTTTATATGCAAGTGAGAGTTGGGTAAATAGATTACATGGTATAAACAGATTATTTAAATGTGTGTGGTAAAACAAGAAGAGACAAGGTCAAAAATGAATGGGTGATAAATAAATACAAAAATGAATATAAGGTAAGTGATCCTTATGAATATAAGGCAATGGTTTTATCATATAAAGCAGATATGTGGCAAACTGCAAAACAAAATATATTAAAATAAGAGCAAATGTGTTGATAGAAACAGGAAGACTAAAAGTATCATTGATGGATGAAGATCCTCAAAAAAGAAGCAGGAATGGTTTGCAAGGATAGAAGTGATTGTTGAATGGTATTGGTGTCCCCAAACAAAATAATATTATGGCTACGTTCTCTTGAAGGTTTCTTTTGTTGTTGTTTTTGGTGCCTACATGTCACTTTTGACTTTTGGCAATTGCCTGGACTAGTCCCTGCAGTTTCCTTGGCAAGGCTTTTTGGAAGCGGCTTGCCACTGCTTCCTTCCTAGGGCTAAGAGAGAGTGACTGGCCCAAGATCATCCAGCTGGCTTTGTGCATAAGGCAGGATTGGAACACAGTCTCCCAATTTCTAGCTTGGTACCAGTACATTAAACCATTTCATTAAACTGGCTCCTCTCAAAGTCATATCAAAGGCATACATTTCAGAAGTCAGATATAACAGACCAACTGTTTCTGTTGTACAACATTATAAACAATTATATTCTGGTGCACTTTCATATTTCTGCTAATTTAGCTGGAGTTTGAATTTGGGGTCTTATGTGTGTGAAGCAGTTACTGAGTTCTAGACCCTTCCTTTAAAAAACAAAATTCCTTATTATTCTACTGAGTGGCTGAATTTGTATAACAGAGGGAACCATAAAATAACCATATTTTAGTCTAGCATGTTGGGTTTGATTTCAACCTTTGGTTAATTTCAGATGTATCAAGATTGCATTATTAAATAAGCAAGGATTGTCTAGCTTCCAGCATCATATTTGCAGCTTTCAGAATTAGGCTGCTACAGATTTTGTTCCCTGGCAGACTGAACAGTTTCCTAAGTTATCTGACTTATAGGAAGTTAATGGTTTGTTTTTATTATGGAAAGTCTATTTCTTTAAATCCACTTCAGCTGTGGAAATAGTGGTTTATATTATGGCAGTTGAAGCAAATTCCTGTGTTTGGCAAGTGGATAGAGCTGCCTAGACATATAAATAATCTCTTTTATAAAGAGGAAAAGAAATAGATTGCAGACTGGAAAATAAGGATATTTGGGGGCTGTAGTTTCCTACCCTTGTTTCACTCCCAGCAGGTGCAGGAAATGGATGCCACCTACTATACTAGAATTTAAAACCTATGTTTTGCTATCTCAATATTAAAAGGTGCCACAAAAGACAACATCTGTAAAAGAGTAGTATATTTAAGATGCAGCATTCCATTGGCAATATAATTTTGCTTGTTACTGCATTTTTTAAAACTTTTTTTGTTAACATTTATTGTACAATTATTGTATACCACCAATATGCACAGCTGTTTATTATAGTACCATTGAATCACACCAGGCCCCAGTCCACTGAATGAACAAGTTCCTGCCATCTTTAGTGTGAATTTCTGTTTGGTGATCCTGATCTCAAGAGAATAGTCAACTTTTATTTCATTAAGGATCAGTTGCTGGCTGATCCTGATCTTTTTGCAGTTTACGTTACCATCATTATCATCATCTCCAAAACCATAATTTATAGGTGCCTGTCTTCTTTCTCACACTTTCCTGAAGTCTAGTTTAATGCCATACATTCATAAAATATCTCTATCTTTTATGAACTTTCCTCCCTAGGAGTATTTTTTTTTACTTCAACACATTAATCATCTTTATATGTCCTTGAGTCAAGTAAAAAGAATTATCTACCATGTTCATTTCTTTCTTAGCAATTGCCTTCTGATTTACATTATCTTTGTCTTCTTAATATTAAATCCAAATCTAAAGTTTTGCCTTCTATTTCTTCACTGGTAATAAATTCCTCTAAATCTTTACTGTGAGGTATGTTTTTTTTTAGAATAGTTCAAATTGTTAGTGTTTCAACTTCCATTTTAGATGCCACCTGTTCAGTCCTGCTATTCTTGTATTTGCTGTATAAGTTAAAGAGGTAGCAGTCTGCACTTATCTTATTCCCTTCTTTTCAGAACCATGTTTCTCTGAATTAATTTCTTAGAGTGGATTTCTTATCACTATAACCAAAGGATAACCTGATTTAATCAACAAAAATTGACCAATTATCTTCCACGTTCCAGCATGATCTATACAATTAAAGGCTTTTTTAAACATTAGTGTGCCTTTCTCAATGCATATTGTAAATTTATTTGTAAAGAAAACTTTGTTGATGTAAACAACTATTGAAATAGTATGGTAATTTGGGCATTCTCTTACACCAAGTTTCTTTCATTATGAGTTTATTTATTCATTTACCAAATTCCAGTACAAATGTATTTCCCAAGGACTCTAGGCAAATGCAGTAATCTTTTACCCTGTTTTTTTTTAGGTTAGTATTTGTTTTCATCTGTTACATTTTAATTCCAACTTTAAACAATTCACAGGATATTTCATCTACATATAGTGCTGTTTTGTTAGATAGCTGGTTTTAACTGCTATATCTCACTGTCAGTTCCCGAATGTGTTATTTATCTGCAAATATTTCTGTTGTTTTACAATCCTGTTTATAAACAAATTCAGTATAATCATTTTATTTTAATTTAACTTCATTTGCCGTTGCAAATGATAGTGTGTTTTGACTTTGTATGGTTGGCAACCTAGTCTCTTTAATTGTCCAAGTTTAGCCTGCATTTTTGCACCTTTCATTAATTTTCTATAACATGGTGATTAGGCTGTAATGCTGCATATTCTGGCTTCTGTTCTGAAGTTTATTTGATTCTGTTGTTGTCTATCTGGCAAAGAGCATATGAGTCTCTATTTATATTGCTACAAGCAAAAGTACCCCTTAAAATTCTATTACCCTATACTCAGGAGTGGGATTCAAATTTTTAACAAATTTCTGTGGGCATGGCTTAGGTGGTGGTCATGGCTTAGTGGTCATGTGACTGGGTGGATATGGCTTGGTGGTCATGTTATTGGCTGGGTGTGGCCAACTCAATATCACTTACATCGAGGCATGCATCTCCTTGCCTGGCCTCTCATGACTGTGGGGATGCTGCAACAGTCATAAGTGTGAAAATGGTCATAAGTCACTTTTTTCAGTGCCATTGTACCTTTGAATGGTCACTCCACACAAGCAAAGTACCAGCAAAGGAGGGGGAAAAAAACTCCAGAGATGTTCCTGAGACAGGAAGTCTAGTCCTGCCAAGAATGTAATAAGGGTTAATGGAGAGGCAGTTTCTGTAAGCCATACCAGAATGTTTCCTCCCTGCCTTCCTTAAAGGATTAGGCCAGTAATTTCTTCTAACAACTGGTTCTCCAAACTGCTTAGAATGTTAACAACCTGTTCTAGCGAATAGGTGCGAACTGGTAGAATCCCACCCCTGCCTATACTGCATTTGTCTAATCCAAATCTTCTTGTGATCCTGTAATTTCCGTACTTGTATGTGTGGTTCCCTTCTGTCAGTCTCACTTCTCCATGATGTAAATTAAAGTGGATGACACTGATACCTTGACAATAGGAGAGAAAAAAATCATCACTCTTTCTATGTTATTTTATGAGCTTCCATCATTTCACACTTTACCTTCTTTTGTGTCAGGCTAAAGAGTCCCAATTGCTCTAGGGCAGTGGTTCTCAAAGTGGGTGGTACCGCCCCCTGGGGGCGGTGGGATGCCTTAGGAGGGTGCTAAGAGGCAAGGGGGCTGGCAGGGGGTACTAAGAGGTGGCAGGGGGCGCTGGAGGAGTCCAGCCGCACCAAAAAAAACATGCGGCGGCTGGAGGCTTTTTGCAGGAACGGGATTAGCGCAGAGCTGCAGACGGGATTCACCCTTCCCATCCCGGAAGTGCTGCCTGCACTGAGCCGCAGTAGGTTCCCACATGGGCCGGGTCAAGCTGGCTGTGAGGAAGGTCTCCCCAAGGAAGCAAGGTAAAAAGCGCATGCACCGCCTTGTAGTTGCGTCGCAGGAATTACGTAGGGCGGGCCTTTTGGCATGTTGAGCGTTCTTGGTGGAGTTGAGTGTCGGGAGGTTTTGCTTGGTGGTCCAAGGCTTAGAAGTCGGTGCAAAGCGATGTTGGGGATTACAGGAGGTGGGACGGGCTCTGCTCAGAAGCGGCTGCTGAAGGGGGGGCACTAAGAGGTGGCAGGGGGGCATTCGAGGTGCCAGCACCGCAGGCTCATCCCATTGACTGTTGCACCAGAGTGGTGCAAGGGGCTCAGTGGTGTCGAACACAGCAGGGGCAGCACATTGGGAAAGTCACTCTGGCTTTGCTCTACTTTCCCAAAGTGCCGCCGCTGTCGCATTCTGTCTGTCTGTCTGTCCATCCATCCAAAAGGTCTGTCTGCCTGCCTGCCGTCCTTCCTTCCTGACTACCTACCTATCTGCCTGTCTGTCTTTCTGTCTACCTACCTACCTATTTACCTACCAGTATAGATCTACCTACCTACCTACCTACCTATCTATCCATACATTCATCCAAAAGATCTGCCTGCCTGCCTACCTACCTACCTATCAATATATCTATCTATCTACCTACCTACCTACCTACCTACCTGTGTCTCTCTATATATATCCATCCATCCATCCATGTTCGAAGCGCCGGCCCCGCAGGCACATTGGGAAAGTAAAGCAAAGCCAGTCTGGGAGGGACGGAGGGGGGAGGGAGGGAGGGAGGGAGGGAAGGAGGGAGAGAGAGAGAGAGAGAGAGAGAGAGAGAGAGAGAAACCTGATGCATCAGATTGAAATGAGGCCTAGTTTAGACT